CCACAGCTGAACATAAAGGTCCTGATTCTCCTTGTGGCACATGGCAGAAGTGCAACCTTTGCTCCTTGGCACTACGTGGGGTTGCGGAACTTGCTCTGGGACTTTGTCACGTGTTTCTTTCAGGAGAAGCTTAGGAGTCACTGCCTGAATGGCCCCTTCTCCTTGCCCCTGTTGTCATGATCCCACAACATGCGTAAGATGGGTCCTCTGGAAGCCTGGATCCTACCAGGGTGAACAGAGCTCCCTGACAGCCCATGAGGAATATGAAATGGGAGTCAAAATTATGGCTTTGACAGCTTATGTCACCATCACCAAGACCTTGGAATTGTCACCTCAGCTTCTTCAAGCCTACCCTGATTGACGAAAGCCCCACGTCAGAGATATTTAGGAGTTAAAGAGGGCCAGGGATTTAACTCAGTGGTGCCGCCGCCTGCCTGCAAGCACAGGTCCTGTGTTGGATCCCTGGTGGTACCACCAAAGAGTTGAGGAATAACTTTAGCATCCTAGCTACGTGCTGTGGCTTTGACTCAGCTACAAGGAACAGCCCTGATCAAGGGTGCACTGATATCCATGTCACTTGGCCTTGATGTGAATGTGAAAGCATGGATACCTCTACAAAGTACACTGCTGACCCCACATGTCCACAATTAAACACGTGCATGGCACACTATAGCAACAGGAATTCTTCGGTAAAGACAAATGCAAGGTTCACACTCTATACGATGGCCTATTTTTATTTTTACTTTTTTTGAGACAGGGTCTTGCTATGTGGTTGAGGCTGGCCTTGAACTCTATGGAGTCCAGGCTGGCCTGGAATCTCCATCTTCCTGCCCCAGCCTCCCAAGTGCTGAGATTACAGTCGTGAGTTAACAAGCTCAGCTCACAATGCACTGATTTTGTCAGTAAAAATGGGCTCAAATTGGAGTTGAGATCATATTTTAATTCTAAAACTGATAATCATCAGTGATGGTACTGTAGGGAAATTACACAGAAACTCAGGCTAAAAAGATACTCACCTGAAATACGAAAAAAGGTTAAACTATGCTTAATATTTCTTTCAATAATGTTCAGGTCTCTGCATTAGAGAGCAATTCAGTTAATGGGTCCAAAGCTTAGAGCAACAATGTATTTAAGATTCAATCAACTCAAAGAGGTCTTGTCTGGATGTGTGTCTTAATGGTTCAAGCAGACCACTTAGTCATCCTTGAAGCAATCCAATCAAAGAAAAGATTCTGACATGGCTGAGTTTTCTGGGCCAATTTAGAATCAAAGCACTCTAGAAGTTTTGCCCTCAGGTTACCAAAGCAGAATGAAAGCTTGGCTTTAAATTGAGTTCATCAATGGCCTCTGTTGGGCACTGAAGGTCCTGGATCCTGACTCAGACCTCTGTTGAAAACTGAAAGAACGACTCAGGTATTTCCGGGGAAGCAGCCCCAAAGCAGACTAATTGTAAGTGTGTATATCTTAACTGAACGCAGAGGAGAAGAGCAATCCAAGTGCATTCCACCAAGGAAAAGTTTTAAAGGACACCACAGGCTAGAGAGGAGGCCAGGGCTCATGACTGACAGCTCCACCTCTTTCCAGAGAGCAGGACCATAAATCTGACTACAAAGTAGCCAGTGCACTTGGACAAGCCAGTCCTCATTGGGCCAGGCCCACAAGATGGCACCCTTAATCTCCAAGCTCATTTATTTGCACATAAACTTAGGAGGAGAAGATAACTGCTGAACACTGCTATAACCTGGAAGTGAGCAGGGCCCTGACGATTCCTTCCAAGGGGAACTCATGCAAAGTCCCTGCTGCTCTGACTGCTTCCTGCTCTTTCTGAATGACTTGGCTCCAAAAAAATTCTCCTACTTCTCAGGCCTAGCTTCATCTTCCTGAACTTGACCCTCACACTCCAGCATCCTCAGGACTGGTGTTCTTGGTAGATTCTTTTGATTTTATACATGTTTTGTTTAGTTGCAGGGCTTGATGAGTTATTAGATGGTAAGGGAGCTTATTCAGGTTACAGAAAAAGCATTTAGGAATGTATAATGTATGCTAGGCTGAATAATGGCACCCAATGACATCCTAAGTCCCAGAACCTTACAAGGGAAAGAGATTTAGCCTATATAATTAAATTAATGAGCTTGGTATGGAGAGTATCTCGGATTGTCTTGAGGGGACCACTGTGATCACAAGGAAAGGGTCACAACCAGAGAATGAATCATATGACAACGAGGGCAGAAGGAGACAGTGAGGCAACTGCTGCTTCTGAAGACCGAAGAGGGTCACAAGCCGAGAAGGCAGAGCCATGAGCTGATTCTCCTTGAAGCCCTCAGAAGGATGTGCCATGCTGACACCTTGACTTTAGCCCCATCAGACTGATTTTGGTCTTCTGACCTCAATGACTGTAAGATAACAGATGTGTGTTTTGTTAGGCCCCTATGTTTGTAGTAATTTGTTACAGCAGCAATAAGAAGCTAATATACAATTTAAGACATTTTACCATCTGCATCCCCTTGATTCAGCCTTGTACTAGAGCAGCCAGACCAAGTTCATTGAAGGTTTTAGTAAACCTGCCTGCAAATGAGAGCATCTTAAAATGATAACATAGTGTTTAGGCAGAATTTTGCTTTACGACGTTTTAAATTTTTCTGTATGGGCCTCAGAATTTGTATGCGCTATAAGTCATTAGGTTAAATCGTATGTAATGTTTCCTTCTCTTTTCAAAAGAATTACTGTAATTCTTGCTATGGACAAGTATAGGGTTTTTAAGTCTTCTACACGTGTAGGTTCAACTCCACTTTCCTGCAACACAAAGATGGAGGACATTTATTCTCAGTCTGAGATAAAGCTGCTTTAAAAATCATTCATATTGCAATCTTACAGAATTTAAAGTATTAAGATTTCTAATTTAATCCAAAAAGGCATTCACAGACTAAAACTCAAAGAATGGAGAACAATATTCCATCCAATGAGAACTCCCAAACAAGCAGGAGCACCTATCTTATTTTCATACAAACTAGACTTCAAGAAAAAATTGACTAGAAGAAGTGAAAAAGGTCATTATGTATATGTTAAGGAGCAATTCAACATGAAGTGACAAAAATTATACACTAGAGGGCCAGGGAGGTAGCTCAGTGGCGCCATCCCTGCCTGGAAAGCTCAAGGTCCTAAGTTTGATCCACAGTACTGGAGGGGAGAATATATGCACTAAACACCGGCACACCCAACATCATAAAACAAACACTACTGAACATAAAACATCATAAACATCAGCACAATTATAGTAAGGGACCTCAATACCCTCAGACAAAAAAACCAACAAAGAAATATCAGAATTGAACTAAACGTTCAAGCAAATGGACTTTAACACAGAAATCTATGCACATATAAACACGGCAGTTGGCAATCGTGGTCCTCTCCACGGCATTCCCAAGTGCTGGTAGAGGGGCACAGAGACTGTTTTCTGCTTTTCTGTGACAAACATCCAAGGGGCCTCTTGAAGAGAGAAGCTAGGAAATCCACCGCACACAAAATCTGCCACATGCTTTGTCAGTGCCGTAGGACGGTGGCTCTCACACTGCCTTGTCCATCAGCACCAGCCAGCAGGCCAGTTAATGGAGACCGCTGGGACTCACTCCGGAGCTTGGAAGAGAGCAGGTTCTGGGTGGAGCCAAGAACGTGCATTTCTGGCTGTGAACGTAGCTCAGTGAGAAAAGTTGCCTAGCTGCCCCACCACCACCATGCACACACACAAAATATGCATTTCTACCAAGCTCTCAGGCAACGGTGATACTGCTGGCTGGCAGTCACACTTTGAGGACACAGCAGGCACCACACTAGGCCCAGACCCATCTGTCTGCTTCAGACCTAGCCAGGTTTCTTGCACAGCGACAAGTTAAGAGGTGCTGAATAAATACCTGCTGGTGAGTGAAACTAATCAACTAGCAAGGGCAGGACCTCCTTCCTTAGGGGCACTGGATGGACACACAGAAACAAAGTATGTCATCACAAGTCGCTAACCTTCATGACAGCAACGGCCTATAACAGACTCCTCCCCACAGCCATGTGTCTAGAGCAGTATCATGACCATTAATTATCAATGAAAACTAGGAAAGAATAGGGCTCCACAGCAAGGGTCTGCAAACTATAACCCATAGGCCAAACTCAGCTTCCACTTATCCTTCAAAATAAGATGTGCAGGCTCGTAGTCACACCTGTTTATGCCTTCAGGTGCATTCACAGTACACCGGCAGAGCAGAGAATTTTCTGCTGAAACAGGACACAGTAAGTCCTCGACTTACAAAGAGTCGAGGTGCAAACTTTCACAGACGGACCTCACATTACGAACATTTGTAGATGTGAATAAATTGTAGAAGTAGCTCGTGTGTCAGCCGGACCCTGTCCCAGCGGTGCTGCCGTGCACTTTCTGCACAGTGCTTGGAGCCCAGGCTGGTCGGAAGTGAGAGGAAAAGTAGTGGCAATGTGGAGGGGACTGCTAGGAAGCACGAAGCAATACACATTGTATATTTGTGTCAAAGATGCATAAGACTCACTCTATTGCACTTATGAACATTCTCCTGGAACAGGATTCGTAAGTCAGGGACTTACTGTACTTCACGAAGTCAAAAATATGTGCTTTCTAGGCAGGCATGGTGGCACATGCATGTAATCCTAGCACTCAGGAAAGTGAGGAGAAGGATCACTCCAAGTTTGAGGCCAGCCTGGGGTACATAGTGAGCCCGTAGGGAGCTCAAGGTGAGCCTGAACTACATAGTGAGACGCTACCTTTAAAAAAAAAAAAATTGCTTTCCATGCTTTCTGGTCCTAAAGAAAAAGCTAACCAACCCTTGTCCTGGAGAAACTCACAAACAAGAATAGTGGTAATATCTTTGGGGGATGAAATGGTGGGTGAGTATTTCCTTTTTCTATTTTTTTGGCCAACTTTTCATTTTAAAATAACAGAAGAAAGAAGAAATGATCTGCTGAGTACAGGCTGTGAAGGGTGGTACCTTATTCCCAATAGCCTTTTTGGGTGGGAAGTTGTAGGCCCGCACTTGAGGGTACTTGTTTTGCAGCTTGTGGTGCAAACCCCGGAACTCTGTGTACCGCCGATACACGTTCCACTCGTCATCTTTTATCCGGATATAAATCTGTTGGGAACAAGAAAAAGAAAGGCAACGTAAGCTTCTCCTAAAACCCTCATTGCAAAGGGCTAGGATTTCAGGACTGTGGTAGAGCTGGGCCAAGCTGGTCTCACACACCACTGGATCCCATGTGCCTGCACGGGACAGAACTCAACGGTACTGACTGAACAAGTGGGCACATGAGAGACTTGGGCAGGCAGATGACCAGAATGACACCGCGCATCATTTCCCCAAGGTGAGCAGAGACGCGTTGCCATATTGTCCCCATGCCCACTGCTGCACTAACAGGTTGCTGGTGAGGCGCTATTCCCCCTCTCCACCATTTGCTTTTGCGCAGTGCAGCTGAGAACACATCCCACGGTGCCTCCCCAGGCGAGAGGGACAGTGTCCAGGTGGACTGGCCTCCAGCCAGGGATCACACAGACTACCACATGCGCAGGGCACAATTCAGTTTGGGAAATGAGGAAAGGGGCTGAAGTGGGATGTATCCAAGAGAACAGGCTCACATCCAGATGGGATAAGCACAGCACAGTGGGGGACAAAGCCTCATTATTTTAACTGAGTTGTAACTCTTGAGAAAACACTTTGGGGGTACAAAATGTGAGGGATTTCTCATGGGCCCTAGTACCTCTGAGTAATCTGATCACAGTGGAAAACAGAGAAGTGGGAAAGAGATCAATGCACTTTTAAAAAATCCAAGCAAGAACAGCCCAGAGAGTAAACTTCCCTGTGATAATGGCTATCGTAATTTACAATCAGTGAGTGTCAATACCCTCTAAAAGCCCCTTTAACCATAAAAACAGACCTCTCTAAATTCTGCCTCTACATGAAAACTACCCATCTTCCCAAAATATAAAGACATTACATCTTTGAAGAGTGGTAAGAACCTTTCACAGTATCCCTGTGGACCAGAAGAATGGAGAAATGGGCTGGGGATTTAGCTCAGTGGTGCCGCTGCCTGCCTCATAAGCGGATGGTCCTGCGTTTGATGCCTGTTACCAAAAAAAAGACGAAGACTGGAAAAAGGGTTATACCAAAGAACTTCAATTAATGGATAGAAGTTTCCAGCTGAGTTAGGCAGAAACACAGAAGGCCTATCACGTTTACAGGAGCCCCCACAGTAAACATAGTGGACAACAGACGTAAAGCAATCCAGACTGGCCCGAGGGCTCAATCTCTGATGGAATTCAGAGATCAATGTCAGACCTTTGCAAGAGGGGAGGATACAGCACAACAGCAGTGGCCATGGAACAGCTTAAGTAAACCACAAAAAGCTCACGAAATTGCAGGCATCATTAGAAGGCATAGAATGAATTCTAGACAAAAGGAGGTGAAAACTTGGCTCCATTCTAACCTCACCAGACCGCTGAGTTTGACTTTGGAAGCTGACTATTAAAGATGAATGGAAATATGTCCAGAAAGGCTCAGCTCACTTGCTACGTGAAGTGTGGCCCGTGACCCAGCAGCAACAGCACCACGTGGGAAGATACTGGAAGCAGAGAATCTTAGGCTCAGCTCCAGATGTCCTGACTCAGAATATGCATTCCAACAAGAAATTCCAGGGGCTCATTCACACTTTATTCTAGGCCCTAGAGATGATTTGCAAATTATCAGGATAATACAGATTAAAAATGCTGAAGGATGATACACCTGAGCAAGGTGGAGGGGCAGAGACCTTCCGATTCCTGGAAAGGCTGTCCTGAGAAAAAAGAACCAATACAACGCGTGCCAGGTGGTTTGAAGTAATCGACCTCCAGCAGGCGGAGAAGACCAGTTTCAGAGGGGAAAAACTTTAGCAGCCAAAGCTGCCCAAAGGCATGTACTGCATGTCTTGAGATGCTTCTTGGTGCTAAGTGTCCAAACAGTGGTGGACGAGGACTGACCACTGCTGGCACAAACATGGTGGTATCTGATTTACAATAATAAGCATTTATTAAACCCCAAAGCATCTGGAGAGGCTTGGCTGGCTGTGGCCATCCGAACTTCAAGCTTTCACAATCTCCACAGCCTGGGTGACACATGAGAAATCAGTTCACAAGTAAACCCAGCAGTGCTCTGAGGAATTCCAAAACAAATTTCCTCTAAAACTGCTGGGGTAGCAATGTGTTCATCCAAAACATCAAAACAAGAAAATAGAATTTTAAACCTGTGTTTTCCTGTCTCTTCTGCACCTAAGATTGGCTAATGAGATATGAGTAAAAACCACTGGGGCCTTCTAAGTTTTCTATGAAATTTCTTCAGAGAGAACTTAATTTAGCTATTAATTACCCCTTTGCCCTTTTTCTATCTCAAACATAGAGGTGATGACTACAGCCTCAACCAGCTATCTTCTGATTATAAGAATCTTGTGAATAGAAGACAGAAGGACTCTGGGTATCTGATGAGCATCACATACCAATTATTTGATTAGTTACTCAAGGTTTTTTTCTTTTAACAAAGAGAAACAGTCATCTGTCATTCAGGACCTTTGCACTAGCAGGTGACCCAATACATTTTGAACAGATCATACCTGCTTGTGGTATATTTTTACAGATGTCCAGTGCCAAGTACTATAACTTGTCCGATCTGGGCTGAGGATGCAGCTCAGTGGTGCACACCTGCCTGGCAAGTGCAAAGTCCTGAGTCTGATACCCAGCACCGGGGTGGGGGGACCCAACAAAAAACTATGATAATAACTTGTCTTATCATGCATGGCTGTAATTATTCTACATGAGGGTAAGCAAACTGGATCACGGGCTAAATTAGGCTACAATTTATTGTTCACCTATTGTTCATGGCGACTTGTGTCATACAATGACAGTTAACTAGCTGCTACAGAGACATGAAAAGCTGAAAGTATTTCTGTAACAAGTTGGAGGGCCTCTAGCCTAGAGCATCAGGAAGTCCTTATCGTTATTTTTTCTACCAATGTATCCAAGATCCAGAGTAGAGTGGGGCAGCGCTGGATGAGCTGCATTAACCACTGGACGCCCCGGAGCCAGTATGCCAAAGCTTCCCCAGTGTTTCTGATGAGTGGGCCTCTTGGGGACCCCTCACATAAATCACAGAGTTGAGAGTCAGACAGAAAGGCGCGCCACCTCTCCAGCCAGTCACTTCTTCACCTGTGCAAAGAAACTGAGATCAGCAGCTCCCACCCCAGGTCATACGAAGAGCATCGAGGTCCCTAAGTAAGGCAGCTATGGGACATCTCACAGACACCACAGAGACCAAGGGAAATTTGATTCGGGGAATAACAGGGGACTAAGGTTGCGATCCGGACTCTCAGCCCAGGTGAACAAGGCATGTCTGGATGGGTCAAGCATATCTAGCATATGCCACCACTCTGCTTTAGCCAAGTTGTGGCTCCTAAGAGGACGCTCTGAGTAGTTCATATGAGCACTCTTTCCTGGGTCTCTTGCAGACCCTGACACTTTCCAGGCACACAGAGCAGCTACTCTGAAGGGAAACCAGAGGGTGGGAGGGAGATCACTGCCTTAAAAACATTAGGCTAGAACAGAAGAAAGGATGAAGTCTCCACAGACAAATGACTATTGTAATTTGCAATCAGTGAATGTCAATATACTGTGTATATTAAAGCCTCTTTAACAGATCAATAAAAACAGACATCTCAATATAAATAACAAATTCTGACTCTACATTTCTTGTATCATGTATTGAAGATCTCATTGTTTTCACTCCCTAGAAGCCTGAGCATACAGGTTTACATTTTTCATGTTTAGATCAATGACTCTCAAATCTTTACCTCCAGTCTGTACCTCTCACATGAACTCCAAACTGATTTGATTCCCCACGGACACCTAAAACTCACCATGTCTAAATCTGCAGCTGGGATTTGTCCATACGTTTGCATCTCCTAGGACCTTGTTCCACCACAGAATGGAAGCTCCAGAAATCTGACTGTTAACTCTGATCAGTCCTATTCTTTACTACCCTTCATCCCCCCTACACACATCCAAAAACTGACCCACAGCACCTGCCAGCTGGACCTCCAAATCCACCTAGCCATCTCCACTCTGGCTCACAGACTGCAGCAGCATTACAGAAGGCAGCACTTCCCTCGTGGCTGGTTATGTGATGTTAGGCAGGCTGCTTCTGAGTCTCAGCTCACTCATCTGTGAAATGGGTGTAAACGAAAGAAGATGCCTCAAAGCATTCATCAGAATGCTGGTACTCTGTGACTGTTAGCTGTTGCTGCTGTCACTCCTGACCTCACCATCGTCACGTTTCACCAGAAAGATGACATTATGCAAACTTTAAAGAGCACCAAAAGGGAGTCACACTGTGACTGTACAATCTCTCTTAGAGGGCTCTTGATAGGGGAAGAGCAAGTATGCAGACTTCTGATCACAAATTGAACAAATTATGCTCTAGGTCATTAATTTTTAAATAAAATATTAATGCGATGCCCTCCCCTGAAAAACTCCAAAACACGAATCTTACAACAAATTCCTTCTTAGGGGTACACGACACAAGCTCCGCTGGGGATATGGCTCAGTGGTGCCGCCGCCTGCCTCACAAGCGCAAGGACCCGAGTTCGATCCCCGATACAAAACACACACAAAAAACAAGCTCTGTGCTGGGCCTGGGTGGTGCCCTTCCCCTCCTCTCAGCTACACAATTGTCTGGGGGACATCCTGGCTTCTCTGGGACCAGTTTTCTCCTGTAAAATGCAGGATTAGACATGAGGGTCTCTCAATCCTTGAACAGCTCTCCAGTTCTGACCTTCTGAGTTCTTGGATAATTTATAAGTGCAAAGCACTTCAGTGGATCTCACCCATTCTGTACTCTCCCCTTATTTCACTGTGGAGTTCACAGAACCAGTAGAGGCCTGACCTGTAGGCTAGCTTTAGGGAAATTTGATTTTCAAGGGAAAAAGCAACATCAAAAGCATCCCACGTTCAGCTGCCTGACAGTCATGCAGCCAGGCCAGGGGACACAGGTGACAACTGAGAATGTCAGGATCTAGGAGCAGAGAGGGCTCTGACTGTTTTCATCCTGCCTACCTA